CAAATGCCCTGGTTCTGAGGGGTTACCTGTCGAATTCTATAAAAAAAAAAAAAAAAAAAAAAAAAAAAAAATGAAACGACATTAAAGAATATTTTTATGAATTATTAACTGAGACATTTAAAAATGAGGAATTGACTTTTTCGCAAAAAATATCAATTATTTTTCTGATACATAAAAAAGGAGAAAAGAATTATCTGAGAAATTAAAGACCTATTAGTTTAACAAATTGTGATTACACTTAAGAAATAAAAAACAAGTTTAAAAACTTCAATGGGAATTGAAGTGGGTCGGTCACGTGATCAAATCCTGTGAAGGCCGAAGGCCTTCTCAGAAGATTTGATCACGTACCGACCCACTTCAATTCCCATTGAAGTTTTTAAATTTGTTATTTATTACTTATATATACATTTGAGACGGACAATCGAATGTAATCGAATATAAATATTGCACTAACTGTACGTCGTAGATTTTGACAAATTACGCTAGGTGTAAATCGGCTTGAAAAGCGGTTACGCTTCAAATTCATCTGGCAAAGGATTCTGTTTTGAAGGGAATATTCTGTGAAAGGCTACTTGTGATCAATTATAGTGAGCATATTGGTGTGTGGGAATTTTTGTATTCATGAGAACCCATATTCGATGTTTAAAAAACACAAGAAACGCGTCCGATGTTTGATAATAAAAAGTTGGAGGAATTTCGGTCGGAAAGGGATGGATGGAGACACTTGTCCGGACCAGATAACTTGAACTCAAGTACAGAATTTGATCAAAAACATAAAATCTACATTTCAGTCAGGCATATTTATTAATTTATGATGTTGACATGGAGACATTGGCGACAGCTTACATTGTTAAGACAACGATCTCGATGATGGAGGTGTGCCTACCGAACTTCCAAAGTGCAGTGTTTTTCAGCTGTTTGTGGCGTGATTGCATTACATTGATGTTTTTCAACAGATTTTAAAATTTATTGTGAGTAAAGTTTAATGAAAAAAAATTATAGCATTCAGAGGTCTGCGAGAAAAATAAGGGTAAACGTTGAGACTATGCAGCTCAGACATGGAACTTATAACATGTAGTTTTATATTCTCTATGTAAAACCGATCAAAAACTGTATTAAATACTCGTTTACATTGTAAATAAAATGATTATTATTTTACTTGCGTATTTTGTACATTTTTATGCATGAAAAACATGCTATATTGCTTAGTGGAGTAAGTCTTTTTATGTAGATATTACTGCGCTGTGTGATTAGGTCACGTAATGACCTATGACCTTCGAAAAACTTCATACAGGTATGAAGATATTTGCTCTCTGCATGTTTATATAATAGAGAGATACCACAAATGTATATATTATATATTGGTTAAATTGCAAGACTTTTACTGATATATTTGAATAATGTGATATTGAGCAAGAGAAAGGAACAATTTAACTTCTTGATTTTCAAAAAGCTTTCGATTCTGAAGAATGGAACATTATGCTCAGTACCCGAGATTTATTTTAATTTTGGAGAACAATTCATAAGATGGATGAAAATTCTATATCCAAAGCCTGAATATTTCGTATAAAGAATAACAAGTGGATATCTAGAACTTGTAAAATGACAAAAGACATTCGACAAGGTTTCAAATCTCAGCACTGCTCTTTTTATTTATTGTAGAAATAATGTCCAAAAATACTACACAATTCAGCAGGAGAAAAGATTTTAGTAATTTTCTATATTTTAACCAGAAAGTTAATTATATACGGGAAATGTACTGTCATTAATACTTTAGCATTAACACAAATATACTAAAGTGCAACTATTTTGCAATATCCTAGAAACGAAACCATTAAAGGAATAAGGAAAACATGTTCAATTTTCTATGGGGGAAAGAGATAACGGATAAAAAGAAATAATTTAAAAGGAAAACGGAATGAGGGAGGGATAGGAATTGTTGACTTTGATTATAAATTGAAAGCGCTCAGGGCCGCATGGGTAACACAAATTTTAAATAAAAAACAATCATCTTTAAATTCCTTCTTCCCAACATATATTGCGAGAAAATTCGTTTCAACAGAGTATCTTATTAAGACAAATACAACCAGTACTGATGAAATAAAACAAATATTTAAGTCATTACCACTTTTCTATTGTGATATGCTTGGTACACTAAACATTGTAAAAATAAAATTCACAATATAAGGGAGATGATCGATGTTGAAATGTTGTCTCTACCTATTTGGTTAAACAACCTGGTTGGTTTTAAAGATAAAATACTTTTTTACACAGATTAAATAAAAAGTGGAATTTTATTTATTAAAGACCTGATTGATGAAAACGGAAATTTCCATGACAACAATTATTTTTATGATATTCTTGAAAACAAGTCAAACTTTATCTGTGAATACAATACTTAAAAAAGTTATAAAACCTATACAATAATATAACGATGTTTCAAAAGGAGCATTAATAAACATTAGAAATCAAACAATGATTTTACTAGAAAATAAACAAAGGCCGATAAACTCGATAAGTAGCAAAACAATTTATGGTATTTTTATCAAAAAAACTTTTCTAAAACCTACTCTGAGAAATTTTGGTCGAGAAGCTTTAATTTCAACTTTGTAGAAAACAAAACACATATCTATAAATCCAAAATTACTAAAATCAAAGATAAACAATTTGCAAAATTTAATTATAAGCTCTTGCAAAATCTACTTTATAATAACAAATCTGTTCACAAATGGAATAGGAATGTATTAAATAGATATGCGTTTTGTGAAACACTTGAAGATATAAAAGATCTAATTTTTGAATGTAGAAATGTACAACTGGTTTGGGCTAACCTAGAAAATTGTCTGAATTTAAATATAAAATGGAAAAATATTGTATTGGGATTTTTTATGAAGAACACAAAACTATTTTTTCACTCAATTATTTATTATCTTATATAACACTTTTTTATATAAGATAAAAATGAAGCTAAGATATGAAAGCGAAGAAGAAAACATAAAAATGATATTATATATTATGTAAAGACAAATTTTATGTATCAATATGAGGTTTACAAAATTAGATTAGATGTCAACTTAACATTTAAATGGTTTAATGATATATCTACAGCTTTTTAATAATAATTATAGTCTGACTATTTGAAGGGGTTTGTCCTTCAGTAGTGCTGCCATATGGGAGTACTTATTACGGACTTTGTAAGATGAAGGATGTGCCCCACTGGCAGCGATACTTATTCTCTAAAGATCGAATATGAATTCTAACAAACATTTGTGTTTTTTTCTACAGATAAAGAAAATGTTCTTTTTATAATTTTAACAATTAATGATGCATGTTTACGTTGATATGTATATTATGATACATCTGTAATATAATCTATCCAATCCAATATGCCTCATTATTGCAATTCCTGTTGTTTTTTGAAAATAAAGAATGAAAAGAAAAACACAATTAGATCCATATTTATATTTATTTCGTGAGTTTTTTTTTTTTTTTTTTCATTATTTTTTGTTAATTAGGGATAAGGATCAGCTAAAAATATTCAAATTCTCAAGGTCGTCAAAGATGACAATCGTATAAAAGATTTCTTTGCAAGAAATCTTTACAATTATGAAAAGATTGGCGGACACATTTTCGTTATTCAAATAAAGTGTCTTAACAGATTTTGATTTCTACAGAGTTCTCGATGTAAAATCGATACAGGACATCTAAAATTAAAAAAAAAAAAATAATGACCCCAGGTATGTTTCTTTATTCTGCTTTGCAATTAATACAAGAGAACACATTTAAGTTCTTGGCACCAATTGCATAAAAGAATTAACAGAGATGATAGTGTATCAACTACCTATTGTAACGTTTTTACTATATATAAATGATTAATAATTGGGTTTGCTTAGGTTTCCTTCCTAAGAATTACGCTTATAATATAAAATCAAAACAAACTTCAATAATATTAATGATACTAAAAGAACAACTGACTGAAATTCACTATATATACTTTTTCCTAGGTCCTATCTGGATAATGATTAGTGAACTAAATGAAGACGAACTATAACAAATGAATCACCAGTGATCAAATCTATAACATTTTCCCTGTAGCTGCAGGCTGAGTGGTTTAACCAACAATGCTGTTGTTTCCCGACACAGTCTGCAAGTACCCTAAAACACACCCTAAAAAGTCACTGAGACACCTCTATTATTTAAAGTCACAAAGACATAAACTAAAGTCACCAAGACGCAATCTAAAGTCATCAAGACACAATCTAAAGTCATCAAGTCACTAAGGAACTAGATCCCTGAGCTGAGTGGTCTAACTAACAATTCGGTTGTTTCCCGACACTCTGATATGCTGAAATGCAAACATTGATTGGCTAAATATAAAATGATTCGATTGAATGATTCAGGCGCCTTTCAATCCACTTTGATTATTCAATTTCATTACACTATACTTCGTCAGGATTTAGCAAAATTAAATCTAAGGGTTGCATTGTTAGATATAATGATAGTAATTCTCTCTATTTCAGCAAAAACCGGTCAACTGGATACTCCATATATACTTACGAAAAAGTATCCCATGTTCCACTCTTTGGAGACATGGGGAGTCTAGTGTACCATCAGGATCATATGTCAGGTTGCCCATTGCCTTTCAAGAACATAATTGTGAATAAAATAGCTTATGGAATGGCCCTCTTTAATAAAAGACCAAACGGATTTACGTCAAGCTGTTCGGGTGTAAATATAGGAAAGACATCAGTTGAAGTATGCGAGGTAATAGAAATGGGTAGGTTGCGCTCAACAAACGTGTCTTTTAACGGATTTTTAGATTTTAATAAGATGAAAAACATTGTAGAATGTATTACTGTCTTTTAAATACCGTTACCTTGAACACCTTAAAAATAGTATTGGATAAATTAATTTAAAATAATTCTCAAGAAAAAAAAAACACGTACACACATATTGCACTTATGCTATCGTCTTTCATTGTAGGTTGTGATAAAAGTAAATATCATTTTGGATGTACTAATACATGCAGTGATAAGTGTGAGGACAAACATTGTGATGCTTTTAACGGATCATGTATTTATGGCTGTTCTAATCCCAGTGCCGTGTCCTTAGATTGTATTGGTAAGGTTTTTTTTCGGAAATGGAAAGTGCAATATAAGCATTTAAAAATATGTCATCTGAATAAAATTTAAAATTCATGTCTCAGATTTCCATAAAGCTGTTAAAATGTCCTTGTTAGAGTATATGTTCCTCGTATCTAATTAAAGGCAAAATTAAAAGAAAATGTACAACAATGAACATCTGCATGTTTACAAGGAAAAACAAACAGCATCAAGGAATGGAAAAGAAAAAACAAAGCTCACACTCAGAGAGAAAGAGAAATACTATATTATGATAAAAACATTTGATTTTATATTTGTAATTAACTTTGATTTATACGTTTTATTCGCTGGTATGTGAACGTCAGAAGGTTGAGAAAATATACAAGGATTCAAAAGATAATAATAATAGCACATATGTCAATATTAATGAATACGAAAATGATTTTGTATGGAAATACTTTTTGGAGAATATTATGAAGAAAATCCAAACAGTAAAAATATTCTTGTAAGTGTATTTAGATAAGATTTTTGCTCTACCTGTCATCGATATGCTAGAAGTCATGTCTTGTTTTGATTCTTCGAATGATCAAGTACTCTCCTTTTGGAGCAATTTTAACATCAATTCTTTGTAAGGACCAAAATTTTACTTTAGGGCTGTGGCACACACCATGAGCGATTTTCATGAAACTTTTTCAGGTGATTAAAGTCCATACATTATGACATAATCAACATTCAAAATTAAGGTTACTACCTTGGTTGCCATGGTAACGGGCTAATATAGATTAACTCTCAATTCAAGCATAAAAATGCTATATACTTGATTTCATGTGGTTTAATTATCTTTATTATTTTTAGATAATTCATACATCATATGAATAGAACGAATGAAGCACTATATAACGCAATAATAAAATTCTACAAGTCACTGCAAATTCTTCCATTAATGGCTCAAAGATGACCAAAGATTACATTTTGAAAATGGTTATTTATACCCTAAATTTCAAGAAGTCTCTCAAGAAATGCAGGCAATTCAAGAAAAAATCACTTGAAATTTTAAAAACAGCATAATAATATTTGTTAACTTTTATGAAAAGTAGAGTGGGGTTTTATTTCGTTTTCAGTATTTTTTAGCTTCGAAAATTATCATTTTGCCAAGTAATATTTTGTTCAAAATGTTACTAGAAACTGGTTGTTTTATAAAATTTCTTTTCCAAACATTTTTTTCACTTATAAATAAGACAAACCGAATGATTAATATATATTATTAAATATAATAAATAAGATAAAATAAAATTAATTGAATTATTGTTGTTTCTCTATGGTCCTTTACCAAGGGCAGATAGCTCAAAATCTAAAGAAAATAAGCTATTCACTGGAACTTATTTCAGTAAACACATTTTCAAATACTAGATAGAAAATGGAAAAAGATAATGGATAAAAACTCTAATGATACTTTTTTCAACCAAAAAAATAATAAATAAATAATAAAATATTACTTTTTCATACATGAGTAAGTAATAGCAGGTTAGCTGATGTTAATTTCCTCCATTTAAATTTTGCTCGTTCCCAGATGCATATCTTTATATAATAATTTTATTTGGTTAAAGAAATTTAGAATTATTTAGACTGACCATAAATTAACACCCCCATTAAAAATAATACCATTAATGTACAGTCTTACACTCAGAAAACATACACATATTATTGTGTATATGTATAATTTTATCGTCACTTTAAAAACATTTTTTTTTTCCAAATTATTAATCAAGCAAGAATCTACATCTAAACATTATCCAAAACGTGTATTTAGAGATAAACAAAATTTAGAAAATAGCTATTTTATAACAATTTTGTAGACAATAGAAACAGCTAGGCTTGATGTTTCCATGATTTCTCTTTACATCAGTGATTGACCTTTATATGGTGTTGTGCCTGACCAGTCAAGAGGAATTTTAAACGGGTTTGAAAAGTGATACGTGAAATAATCATCTTCATCTTTTCCCCTGGAATAAAAAACATACATGTATAGTTTAATCAAAAATCAATTGTTTAATATCTACTTCATTTTGCATGTGATAACAAATACAAGTATATAAACATATCTATTTTTATTAAAATGTATATAATTCTTAGCTAGTAATTAGAATTTACACCTTGAAATAAATTGCCTCAAAATTCCTGCATGTGTACTTAAAACAGCTGGCTTCATATCACAGATGCTTGGGGACGGAACCCCCCCCCCCCCCCCCCCCTTCCTCCGCTCCATACCCTAAGGGTTCTCCCTTACTTCTTTTTATATAAGATATTTTTCTATGACAAATTCACAAAGTATTACGATTGAAAAATTCAAAATATAACCTAACACTAACCTTTTATAAAAATTCATACTCTCTGATACTAAAAAAGAACTTGTAGTTAATTTATAGGCCTTTGCAATTTTCTTGTGTAAATCATATGCATTAGGGATATTCATACAAGTAATCAACACTATATCATTCACTTTTATAAAAGATTTGATAAATTCATTGTGGAAGTTGGAATTAAAAAATGAAAATTTCTATTCCTTTCCATATCCAGACGATTGTTATATTAAAAAAATTATTTCACTGTGTGTCTTTTCATCTTCTTTTTTTCTTTTCAAAGCATCAGTACATCTAAATTATGTTTAATTTTCTTTTTCAAATTAAAAAAAAAATCATTATTCATCGATCATGAATACATACATTTACATGGATATATTTTATTTTTATCTTATTGGTGTGTATTTATATCTGCAGTTAAATATGGTGTGTTCTTTTACAGTGAATCTGAATTATATGACTTCTTTTTAGGTTAAATTTTTTTTATTTGTTTCCATTAAGTCGACCATTACTAATTTTTAGCCACCGCCCCTAATACTTTTTAGACCAAATCAGATTTTAAACTGTATAAAGTTACCAAAAATTTGTTGTTTTCCTCCAATTTCATCTTGCATTTTTTTCATGAAATTCCACATGATGGGAATGCAAGTCAGACTTCATAAATTTTGTTTCAATATTTTGCAAAGTGAATTTGACTTTAAAAATCTAATATTTATAAAGGTCCGTACATCATTATCAAGTTGAATGCTGAGAAAGCAGTGTCTCCTTTATTTTCATTAATTGACTGATGACTTAATTTGTCATTCACACTTGAATTCCATTTTTAAAAAATTGAAAAACACATCATTTTTCTGTTATTGTTTCATTTTATTTTTCTGGCGTCTGTTTCTGCCATATGTTGTTATAAACTTCTTTAGACTTCAATACAGGAGAGTCAACAAAGGGAACTTACACCAGTTTAATTTATCATCTTCAGTGCAAAAGAGTCAGCAAAGGGAAATAACTCTAGGTTAATTTCTAGGAAAAGTTATAATTTGAGGGGATTGGAATATGACTTTAGCTGATTTCCCCACCTCAAATCTTTTTGCATCTTTTAGATCTAAGCTCGATATTACTAAAAAGATCTTTTTACTAAGTTCCATTGCCTGCAAAAATTTATATGCGTATCCAGAAAGAGGCACCTTCGTATTCATTTTTATGACAAAATCATGTAAGTTGATCTGTATCATATCAAAAACCTTAGGTTAAATTGAATAAAATTTAGATACAAAGAAACTTTGATTACTTAGCTATAAAAAGAAACCCATGTTATGTTCATAACTTTCCTACATTAAGGAAGCACAGATTTATTTTACAATGATGTGATGACAGTGATGACAATCAGGTCAGATTTGCCATAACAAAATATTTCAAAGTCGTTGCTATGGAAACCAAGGAGACACTGTCCAAAATTTACCCACCAATAGTCTTTACATAGGGCACTCTCTAATATTATAGTGATAAAATAAAATTCCATGATAGTGCGTGGCCAAGCATTTTTGGTCCTTACAGAGAATTGATGTTAAGATCTTGAATGATATTTTTATACACAGCATAGCGTAGCATGATCACTTATTCCCTGGAAATCAACTCAATTACTTAGTATTATTTTTCACCAGTGTGTGATGACGGGACTTATGCTTATAATGGAGGATGTGTACAATGCGGGTACTGTAAAGATGACACACCCTGTGCAAAAGAAACCGGAAATTGTTCGTCTGGCTGTATGAAAAAGTAGACAGGGGATCTTTGTAAAAGTTTGTGTTTGATTTACACTCCTCCTAGGTACCTGATCCCACCTCTGGAATATCCAAATGTCTCAAAGTGCCAAGCGCATGGCGTTCACAGATTTGTATTGCTTGGCGTTTTTTAATCCATCTCTGTTTGTTAATTCTACCTGAATTCAAACCTGTCAGAGTGAACACCTGTACTTTGCTTCCTGTCATATGCGACCTTTAATTTTTTATGACATTTTACCTGTAATCAGCTACTCCCTGTCTATGCAAACATCCTTTTCCGTACTAAAGCAATTTTAATATCCCGAACTCAGCAAATTTTTGTCCTACTTTCAATAAAAAAATTGTCACGGTTGCATAGTGGTTGGTGTTCTCTTCGTGAGCAGGAGGCTGAGTTCGATTTTTTTTTTTCCATAGTCTGTCTCAAAACTATTACGTAGCATAGATAGTGACTGTTTCTACGGCAAACGTCGGACATTAAAGGTTATATTCAGGGTTGTTTTGGATGAGATCAAAATCGTGTCCCCATGTTACAGTAGGCTTTTGCAGGATAAAAAACCTTCACTGCTCAATGAATCTGAGTAGGTCAAAATTTTAAGCCCTTCATTGGCATAGGGTGACGTTTCTAAACGAGTGAAAAATTATCGAATGTGGCGTTAAACGTCATTTAATAAATCAATTACAAAAGTAATAACATTTTTAGCCTTTGTCCCTTCCTCTCACTTTGCAGAAAGTTTTTTTTAAAAATGTTTAACAATGCATGGTTTGGTTTCAAATAGAAGTGTATTAACAAAAATTAACATCTTGAAATGAAATATGAAGATAACGAACAGTAAGGAAACCTCAAAGTCCATTGAAAGCAAACAAATTTAGAGCATAGCAGACACGGACATTTAAAACATCAGAGTTGGGGCCGAGTGCCATGAAGGAGTAAGCATATTCTGCCGATAGATCACAGCCCCTTCTGTCCCTTGTCATGTAAGTATATATGTTTGCCGTTCGATATAATTAAAAGTTTCTTTTTTTAAATTCTTTTTTTAAGGGTGTATCAAGTTCATGTGTCTTAATCTTTCCAATAGTTTATGTCCAATATTTTTTTTTAAAAAGAAATGATGAATTCAGATCTAGATATGTTCAAGAAAATTCATCAATCTTCTAAGAATTACTAATAAGTTCACCTTCGACGTGACGAGACTTTCCAGGAACACAGTGTCAAATGATTTTGATTGAAAAGACAAGCACATGGACTTCGTGTGAACTTAAAGCAAAAACAATAAATAAATAAATAGATAAATAAATGAATAATAAATAAATAAATAAGATTATGACTGCCAAACAGACGGATTTGTTAATAAAGAATAGTTACATACTATGATCATTGCCTGATTTACTAAAAAATAAACTTAAGAATTTTTATTTGATACAGATACATGCATTGGGGATCTCTCTCTCTCTCTCTCTCTCTCTCTCTCTCTCTCTCTCTCTCTCTCTCTCTGTATAATTTGTTTGTTTATACAAATTATGACAGCATATTACTTAGATATCAATTTCTGAAATTCAAATCTATAACAAATAATTCGGATGTCTCTTTGTATCATCTTGTCCGAATATAATTACGGGGAAAGGTGGGGGGGGGGGGGGGGTTAAGGATAGTAGTTTGCTTATGAAATCATCACAAAAAATAAGAATTTCATATTACTTATATTACTGCATGAAAATATTAATACACATGTGTATTTATGCGAAACATCCATAGATCTATGTAAAATATTTCTATGTGATTGATTGATTGTATGTTGTTTAACGTACCATTCGAGAATTTTTCACTCATATAGAGACGTTATTTCTATGTGTGATATGTTTCTTTTTTTTTCACAGAATAATTGTCACTCTTGTAACTACAGCATAAAATATTGTAAAAAACACGAGTATTGTGTATACATAATGTGCATGTACATATGTACCATCTTTCTTAGGACAATGCGGGCATCTTTATTTTATTTATTTATTTATTTATTTTTTTTTTTTTTTTTTTGTTCTGGAATTGTTCAGAACCAAAAAAAAAAAAAAAATAGATAAATAAATAAAAAAAAAAATAAAGGAAGAAAGAAAAAAAAATAAAAAATAAAAATATGGTTTGGTTATGTTGGAACTCTAAAATTTATTTATTCATTGGATTAATTTACTTATTCATTTTCCGCCATACAATAGAGTACATACATTTCATGAAAAAAAATGAGATATTCCGAATAAATCGTTCATCTTGCGTTTACCGTTCGTTCGCCGTTCACTTTGCGATCGCGTTAGCGCTCCTTTCGCGTTCTGTGTTCAGTCACAGTTCACTGCTTAACAACTGTTCACCAAATTGCGTTCAGCGTTCACACATCGTTTACTCATTGTTCGCTTTGCGATCGTTCATATTTCGCTCACCCTTCAAGTGGAAAAGTAGAACGTTTCAGGGACTGTAAATGGTCTTGCTCTCCTTCGTCTTTCAACTGCATTCCTGTGAACGCATGATTACTGGTGATGTTAATACTATTGAAAATGAAGTACTCAAAACAATCATCTTAAAGGGTCCTAAGTACATTGAGCCCCGGTCGTTCAATTGGTGACAGGGCTTCATATCTATTATGGATTCTGTTGAAGTTTATGCCAGACGTTGTGCTAATTATGAAAGGGAGTACCTGAACACTTTGCCAAAATGGATAAAGTGTTTTTGGAATGTATATTCGTAAAAAAAAAAAAACCCACTCTGATTCTATACAGAAGTACCCTGAAGTTGATATTAAAAAATACTTTATTGGCAATATTTATGTAGTCTCTGAAGATCAGGTCTTCCAACAAACTGTTGTTATTCCAAAAGGCACTAATTGTGCTCCTTTATTAGCGACCTGTATTCCTAAGAAGCAGAATATATTAAAAAGATCTACATGAGAAGATAAAAACAACACTTGCTCTGGCCTTGTAAGCCAATGACAAAATTTGTAAGTTTTTTGAAAAGTTTATCAAACTACCGTGATCGTATAGATTTTTATATGCTAGTTTCTGAAATCTCATCAGAATAGACCAATACGCTGATTGTAGCAAAAGTTTTAAAGGTCCGTCCCAAATATTCAAGAAGACCGTAGAACTAAAACTCCAAAAGTATTAATTAAGGTGATGTCCAAAGAAATTAGAGTCCAAATTTAATCAGAAGAGTCAATAGATGCCTAATGAATGGTCGAAAGAAGGAAGGATAGAGTCAAAGAGTAGAGTTAAGAATAATGTAAAGTGCCGTTTTCCGACAAAACAGGGTATTTTTTGCTCAGAGGGTATTCATGGTCCAGGATATAAAAGTACATGTGCTTTTCATTGGCTTACTTAACATTGCCATGCCACCTACGCTTTGTCCGTAGGTCTGTTCGTTGATCTTTGAACCCCAACATGATACCACCCTCCAATACAGGTATACCTTCATTAATAATATTTATGGACTCAGTCTCCATCTCTGCACCACAGGAGTTCTAGCCCTAGGCTCTTTTACTTATCTGCTTTGAACAAAGTTCCCAATTTTATTACTCTTAATCAAAAATCTTAATAGTAACTTTACATTTCCGTTCAAATTTAATCACTTAGTATCGATGGGCTTGATTGGTCTATTCTGATCAATTTCATTACAAAAGAATTTACAAAATTATAGTTCAGTTTACCACTAACAACATCCAATTTGTTTTAACAATATAATTATAGTTAATGATGTTAAAGTCTCTTTTCCTGTATGGTACACAAACAATGTATATCCCCATTTAACAAACTTTTATTTTATTTTACTGTCACTACTAAGTTCAAAATTAATAACTAAAATGAATATGATATGAATATAGTCCAAGTTTAAAATGTTCAAATAAAATGTCTGTTCTAAACCCTATGAGTTTACATTCGTCCCCACACAATAAGAAATTTCCCAGTGGAAATTTTTCTGTTAAATCCTGAACATAATTTTAAACTTAGTCAAAGTTTAGTTCGTTCACAAGATAGGAATTAGTCCATCGAAACTGTTCACATTTTATTAAACAAAATCCTTAGTCATTGAAAATAATTTAGTCACCATTTATTAATTGTTAATTGCAGTTTTCAGCATTTCTCCTTAACATACGATAATAGTTTAATCTAGGATTCAAATCCTATATAACTAGACGTATAAACAGGTCTGTGGTACGACATTGTGATCCAGAATTTCTTTATCAAGCTATGATTAAAAGAATGATGTTCTTTATTAAACTACACAAACTGGCATTTTGAAAAAAAAAGTATATATATTCCATTGATTTAGAATGTGCTGATGATTACTATGACCAGAATTGCAGAACCTGTTGTGGAAATTGTCTTGATGGATTTTGTGACATGAAAAAACGGAAGCTGCCTATCTGGTTGCAGACATAACTGGAAAGATCCTTTGTGTCAAGGTAGATGTTTACCATTATGATAAGCTATGTGTAATATTCTCTCGTATCAACTAAAGTTATCACGCCTTTGTATTATATATTTTTAACTAAAAGAACTATAATATACGAGGGTTGTCCGGTAAAATCGTGCACAAAGCGTATTTCTAGAAAAATAACCGGCACACTAAGCTGAAATTTTCAGCAAATATGCTAGGAATTAATTATCGCGTAATTACGCGAGAAGCACAACTCGCGAAATAAAATTACTCGCTTTTATTTTTATGGTGCTGAAATCAGTGTAAAATCACTTGATCAACCGTCCACTCGCGAATTATTATTCTCGCGATTTGACGCGATTTGACGCTGAAGAGTCATTTCGATAATAAGTACTCGCTAAAAAAAAGGAATCTACAGTATTTAAGTGCATCTTAATTTTTTTGATAAAATATAGACAAAAATAAAGATTTTATTATGCTTAAATATGCACAGGGTACGGTCCTACGGCGCACGATAAAAAAAAAAAAAAAAAAAAAAAAAAAAAAAAAAAAAAGGGCACGAGTATTATTTCAAAATAAAAGTATTAAATAGATAAGGTTGGGGGTAAAAAAAATTATCCTATTTTTAATCCACTATTTATGATTTCGTCTTTTGTAAAAAATCAAGGCATTTGCTTAATATTTGGCAGTTTCCTGAGCATTTGAAATGGGAAAGTGGTAAACGCAACACATGAAAAATGGTGAAGTTTGGTGACGTTCCGGCGCACCGGAGAGCAGTTCAGTCTGATTTGGATGTAGTAATGACGCCCTAAGAAACTTTAAATGACTACAGAAGAAAAGAAATAGAAAAAATATCACCTGATCTTTAGTATCCAAGTGAAATTAGTATTTTCTTAGCGGAAGCTTTTTGATCGGGTCCCCAGGTAGAACAAAACATACGGACATACAGCCACTGGCGATAGCAAAAGACGCTGTGTCTGAAGACCGTCGATATAAGAGAGCCTGTTTAGTTGAATGATAGTGAGAGTACTATCCATAACTTACTAATAAATCTTCAGAAGGTCCCAGGTGTGTGCAAGATCGGTTCCTCGACTGTTTATGGGGGAATAAAGGGAAAATCTAGTTTGTGCATCAATGAAATCCCCGAATGTTTTAGTGGGGCTTATCCAACTTTTATTTAGCAAAGAGGAAACGTGACGCTGCTTTAAAGACTTTGACGTTAAGGCGATACCATACATAACATAACAGTTTCATATTATGTTTCTTTGAGCAGATATCTATTTGAAATTTGCTATGTATATTGATGAAAAATGTAATAAAATGTAGTGAAAGTTTTAGAATGCAGTGATGATTATTTTTCAATATAGACAACGATTTTACCGGACAACCCTCGGGGATTTACTCCTGGTCATATTCTTCTAAACCTCTGAAGTTGTGAAGCCAGCAGTTTTGGTTGTAAATGTGTCACCGTAAGATTCTTAATAAATTCAAGAAAAAAAATATTATTTTATATTATAAGATGTATCGATCGATATGCAATTTTTTAACCCCCCCCCCCCCCCCCGTCAATTAATGAATGTGCTGATGGTCATCATGCCCAACATTGCTGTACCCAGTGTGGAAAATGTCTTGACGGATTTTGTGACAAGAAAGACGAAAGCTAACTACAATGTAAATTAAACTATATTAAAATAACCCCATGATTAAATTGCATACCAAAAGCATTAAGTGAGGAACTATATTTTGAGCGTAATTTTTTTAAAGAAAAAAAATGATGGATTTTTCTCTTTCTCTTTCGAAGTATTTACCGTTTTGTTAATTTTTTTAAAGAAAAAAAATGATGGATTTTTCTCTTTCTCTTTCGAAGTATTTACCGTTTTGTTAAGTTATTTTGTGCAGTGAACTGTTTTATACTGGTCCTAAATTATATATTAAACTAACTGTCATGAATTTTATCATCAAATTTGACAAATATAGTAAATATATTGCCCCAAATTAAGCTTAACGTTAACACTTTATAAGTAATAATGGAGGAAAAACTTAGAAAAATTTATTAATGTGTTCCAATTAATTACAGTACAAAAAAGTCACATTAAATTACTGTAAACGTATTTTATTTCTCTGTGTATTCTTTTTAGCGCTTTTGGTGGAAAAAAAAGCTTCCGCTAATTTAAGTACAACGCAAACTGTCTTGCATAAATATACATAAAGAAGAACATGAAGAAATGTGCTAAATCAAATCCACGCTAACTTGTTCAAAAATCAGTTTGCACTAAATATCGTACACGCTAAATATAATACATTTACAGTATTTGGACATAATTTTAGTTATATAACATTTTCAAACATGTTTTTCTGCGCATTAGAACGTTTATATATTGTTTTGTGTTTAACTACGTTTTTATAGTAAGACTGTTATAAGCTGTACAATGACGCTTGGACAGTTCCTAGTATTGTTAATGATCGTTTTGTTGCTTTAATGTGCAGTCAATTTTGATATTGAAAATGAGATTTTTGCTATCATTTTAGCTGAAATGTATTTTGGCATTGATGTGTATTAAGAACCGACATTATACTTGAAAAAAAACTTGAATAAAATATGAAGATAACGAGCAGTAATCGGCCTCGAAGGTCCAATGAAACGATACAAATTTTTAGCAGAGCAAACACGGACCTCAAAATTAAGAGGTGGGATCAGGTGCCATGGATGAGTAAGCATCCTCTGTAGACCGGTAACATCCGCCGTGTGCTCATTGTAATGATCGGACAAACGAAAAAAAATCCGTAGAAATTCAGTGTCTAAATAATGGCCTAAGAAATATTATGATAAACGTCAGTTAGCATTTGACTTAATGACAGGTTAATGACAATGACTTAATGACAGGTTGTATTTGCTGACAAGGCCACTATATCGACCACAGAACTTGCGGAATGATGACTATAAAGGAGACTGTTGATATCCTTGTTTCATCAATGTGTTTGGCAATAGCTTGCCTTGTTTTAGAAACTGTTCATACGTTGAGCATGCTCTTGCATATCGAATCAGCTGGGAGGCATAAACCCCATTTGCAGGTGACAAGGGTATATTGCTACATCGAATAAAAAAAGGAAGTTGACAATGGGATAGTTGAAGTCATCATGTTTATCATAAAGTTTTGTTGTTAGGTTACCATTAAGTCTTTTTCTAGTAAAATATCCAAATATGAAAGAGATGTGTCAGACTCTGGGGTATCTTTTATATCAAGTTCACTGGGATATATCAAGTGAGCATATGAATGGAAGTAACTAATGTTAATTGATAATACGTTGTCGACTAGGCCGTGTTCCGCTCTTTTTTGAAAATATCAGAATTTCTACATAGCATTGCATAATGATAAAATGGGTTTTTTTAGGCTTTAAGTCATATATATACAGTGCTTTCTGTTCAGTAACAGTTCATTGTTTTGAAAATTGTTCTTGGAGATATAATGCAGGTACCCTTTGTTTAATTGATATATTATACTCAATATATGCCCCTTTTAATGATACAATTTCCTCAAAATCCAAAAGAAGCACACAGCATTTTTCAGGATCTTTTAAAACTCCCTTAATAGGTAATTTGAGGTCATATTTAAACATCTCGATAATCAGGGACATTATATTGATAAATCTCTATCAATTAAACAGCTGTCAATGTTTAATAAAGATGGAATATCATTTTTATTTCAGTTTATACTACAAAGGAAGCAAGAACATAAGGGAGGTACTTCTAGGAATGAATTATACGTGTTTTTTTCAGACAGGAAATAATGGATATAACCTACATTTTGGTACAATCCACTGTCTCTTCAGACGAGATTTCAAAAACGTCCTTGGTCGTCATCTCCGTCATTTCAACGCTTCTTGGAGTAATACTTCTCAGTACGCTGACTATAGTTATATATCTCAAAAGAACAAGATGTCTGCAACAGAATGTTAAGGAACCTAGCACTAATGACAAAATGTCTACTAAGGATAGAGAACAGATGTATGACGATTTGACGGGTGGACAAGAAGAACACCACTACGCATCCATTGATTCCACGGAAAGGGATACAGCTTACCAAGAAATGAATACTTATATAAACAATATATTTAATGAGGGAACATAAATGTTCATAAAGGAATTTTCATATTCCTGAATTTTGAACTACTATGCAAAAGAAGATTCCGACAACATCAATACTAACTATATCTTATCATGGTTTCGAACCAAGAAAATTGAGGAATAATAAGTTATTAACATAACCAGTTAAACAGGGGTCGTGATTAATTGTATTTTTGATTATGGTATTTAGAAAGAATTTCAGAAACATAACAAAAAAATTAAAGTAAAATAGATTTAGAGATGTTAGGAAAATAAGTTTTCCTGTTTTGTATTTGCTTAACGAATGATATTAATGTACAATTGTCAATGTCAATATCTTTCAATAAAACTATTCATTAATGGAACTTCTCCTTCCCAAACACTTTAATTAATCTACCAGGAACCCAAATTGCGATTATTGTAATATCGTAGCCTTTCAAGAAACCATATGGTCACGTGACAGAGCTTAGGCCGGTCATGATTTTCTCAGCTCTGGCTTCGGATCAAAAAAAGTCTATATATCTTCCAATATATCTTCCAGTATGTGTGTGTAATGTGTATGTAGTGTTCGCTTTTCCTGGAGTTGGTTTTGAGGATTGTTGAAATCTAATTTTTTTAGCCCGTGTGTGCTTATATTTTGGGTACTCTTACAAACATGAATAGAAATAGGAATCGCAGTGAGCAGAAATCACTCGTAGAGGGACACACTTTCTCTGTACCGAGTATTACAGGTAACCCATTCACACCTGAGTTGGTCAGTGCCGTGCATTCACTCCCTAGTCTTCAAGCTAGCCTCGGGGAAATAACGGACTCACTTAGGACGATCAGAAATCTCACCGAGGAAATAAGCGATATCAAGAAAGACTTGTGGGAAGAAGACGGGTTCGATTATAGAATCAAATTAATAGCCGAGCAGCAGGTAGATGGAGAGGATGAACTTCAGCAGCTGAGACAAGAGAACAGATCGCTCAGAGAAGACGTCAACATGTTGAAATCCATAGTGATTAATCTGGAGAGAACAGTAATTAAAAATCAGAATGAAATCATTGATCTCAAATCGAGATCAATGAAACAAAATATTTTGATTCATAATCTCCCTGAAGAAGATGGCGAAAATCTATTTGTTAAAATCCCAGAGCTTATCAAGACGCATTTCAAAGTAGATACATCTTTCGCAAATATTCACAGAAACAGTTAAAAAATACAAGGGAAGCCAAGAACCATCACTGGGCGACTCAACAAATTTACGGATAAGGACTTGATCCTGCAGGCACAGAAGGAGAACAAAAATCAACGTACAGAACAAACAGAGGCGATCGACCAGAATTCTTCCTTGCAACACAATTCAACATTCTTCATCACACCATAAACTCCAATTCAATTGTCAGAAAATCGAAAGAAACTATTAGAATTAAACAACAAATACTGGAAAGCTAACGTTAAGACACGCATTGTGGGAGAGAAACTTGTATTCCCAAATGGAAGTATACATAGAGATAAAGTACAGAAACCAAAAGCAGAACAAATCCTAGGAATGGATCAAGCAGAAAGAGAGGCGCTTAAGAAGATTAAAGTGACGGAGTTGGAAACAAATGAAGGAGGGAACATTTTCCGAGGGATGGGGGCAACAACGGAGTGCTATAACCAAGTGCGCGACATGTACAAGAAAACATTCTGTGATCAATCCCATGCCAAAGCTGATCACAACATACTTGTTTACAGATTTCGAGATTCAAGCGGACAAACTCACGAGGGATACAACGATGATGGTGAGTTCGGCGCAGGGCGTAGATTAGTCTAAATAATGCAGAACTTACAAGTCACAAATATGACGGTTGTTATATCGCGCTTTCAAGCGAAGCACATCGGCGGTCGTCGATTTGAAATTCTGGAAAATCTTCTGACTGACGTGGTTCTTCGACACACTAGTCATTGAGTGTGTATATGATCTGCATATAGACTCTGTATTTTCTTATTAATTAATCAGTTAAATCGCTTCAAATCATGCAGTACTACGAACATGTATATATGTATATGTTGTTTGCTTAAATAATTAACTATTCAGAATTTTCAACCACAAACTCATATTTTATGGAGTTACACTTTATTGGTTGTTATTTTACTTTGATATGAGATAATTATGCCACCCCCCCCCCCCTCGATGTTTTAAATCCTTATTCATAGAATAGTTCATTGTTAGGCAGTGATATTAACAGTACACTGCATTATTCATACTCTTTTTTCACTGACAAAATAGACATTCTTTATTATGCTCTGTCAAATGCTTGTAATGCGGTAATATCTTTTGAACTATCGGAATTTTTTCCGGATGATGTTACCCCTGTTGAACAGGTTTTTATCTTTTACAACACAAAAGTAAACTTCCGATTTAGACTAAGAAAGGAAGACTATAGCTTTTTTTGGTCTTCTATCACCTCTTCAAGGTATGTTCTTTGTTACCTTTTGTAAATATTTTCACTTTCTTTTTTTTGTTCCTTTTCTCATGATACCTGGCTCTGCAACACAATGTATTAGTTTGTCTTACAGTTGTAGCATTACAGCAACATCACATGTAGAATATTTTTTTCAATTTTGATGTCGTTTGAATTATCGTGTATTTCACTTAATGTTAGAGGGCTCGGCTCAAAAATTAAAAGACTTGGTATTTTTACGTGGCTAAAAAATTCCTGTAAGAATAGTTTTATATATTTACAAGAAACACATTCAGTCTTAGAAAATGAAAGTCAGTGGTCAAAGGATTGGGGTTCTGATATAGAATTCAGCCATGGTGAATCAAGTAGTAGGGGAGTAGCTATTCTTTTTCCCCATAATATAGATTATGTTATTAAAGACAAAAGACAAGATAATGAAGGTAGAATTTTACAAATCAATTTAATGATAGATGAAACCAATTTTATCTTAACAAATATTTATGCTCCAACAAAGGATAAGCCAAACTGCCAGGTGGAGTTCTTTAATTTGTTAATGACTTACATAGAACCACATAGCTATGAAAATCTTATCATTGGGTGAGACTTATATATTACTTTAAATCCACTACAAGATAAAAAAGGCGGTACTACGGAAGGAAAATCCAACTATAGAGACAATATTCTAGCTGCTTTAGAAGATCTTAATTTAACCGATATATGGAGAGAACAAAACCCAGATAAAAATTATTACACATATTTATGTAAAAACCCTTTAATTTTATCAAGAATATATTTTTTTATTATTCCTTGTTTTCTCTCTCCTCATGCAAAGTCAAATATAAAACCTGCTATTAAAACAGATCATAGTGTTATATCTTTAACACTTAATGGGGAAGTCCATCAAAATAGAGGCCCTGGGATTTGGAAATTTAATTCGTCATTATTAGGAGATGAGGAATTTGTGAAGAAAACAAAAGAACTCATCAATTGTTTAAAAGAGAAGTATAAAGGTTTAGATGACCACCAGTTAAAATGGGACACAGTTAAATGTGAACTTAGAGGATTTATTGTTAAATATTCAAAATTAAAAGCAAGAAAAAGTAGACAGGAAGAAGAAACACTGTTGAAAGAATTAGATAAACAAAATGAAATACTATCAGCTGATCCATCTGAAGAAAATTTGACTTTCTAAAATGAAATAAAAGAAAAACTAAATGCATTAACAGACTTAAAAACAAGGGGCATAATATTGAGATCTCAAGCAAAATGGTGTGAAGAGGGAGAAAAATCTACAAAATACTTTTTGTCTTTAGAAAAAAAGAAATTACAGAAATAAGTGTATAAATAAGTTAGTAGTTAATGACAAAATTATATGTGATAAAAATGAAATCCTCAAGGAAGAAGAACGTTTCTTTGAAAATCTCTACTCAACTAATTTAGAAAAAAACAATTATCAAAAACATATTAGTTATTTTGTGGACTGTGAAAATATTCCAAAACTTACTAAAGAAGATTCTGCAACATGTGAAGGTTTAATAAGTAAAGATGAATGTGAAAATATCTTAAAAGAATTTAAATTAAATAAATCTCCAGGAAGTGATGGACTTCAATTTGAATTTTATAAGTACTTTTGGCCTGAAACAGCAGACCTAGTGGTAAATACTTTAAATGAAAGCATTCATTAATTATCTCTTTCTTCAGATCAAAGAAAAGGAATCATTTCTCTTGTACCTAAAAAAGACAAAGATCGCACTTTATTAAAGAATTGGAGACCAATTTCTTTACTGAATTTTGATTATAAAATATTAGCAAAAGTTCTTGCTAGAAGAATTAAAAAACTTCTACCTTATATAGTCGATACTGATCAAACAGGTAACATTGAAAATAGATATATATCTGAGAAAATATAAGAACTATTGCAGATCTTATTGATTACACAAGTTTAAAAAATATTCCTGGACTTATTTTATTAGTTGATTCTGAAAAAGCTTTTGATACAGTTGAATGGATATATTTAGATAAAGTATTAGAAACTTTTGGGTTCGGTACAGGGTTACGGCAATGGGTACGTACCCTATATTCAGGCATTACAAGTTGTTTAATTAAAATAATGGGTATTCCTCCTCCTTTTTCGAGATTTCTCGAGGCGTTAGACAAGGATTTCCTTTATCACCTTATCTATTTATCTTATGTGTTGAATTAATGGCTATTGCAATAAGATCAAATAAAAGTATTCACGGTATAAGAATCGGTGAAACAGAATTTAAAATCAGTCAGTTAGCAGATGACACTACTTGTTTCTTAAGTGATGAAAAATCAGGATTTGAAGTATTGAGAATCATCCAAAATTTTAAATATTGCTCTGGTTTAAAGATCAATCTAAATAAAACAGAAGCCATATGGATTGGTAGTTGTAGGAATGTTTCTCCAGGAAGTTTACCAGTGAAATGGTCCAATGGTTTATTTTTTACACTTGGAATCTGGTTTAGTGTACATGGGGAATATGACTGTTTAGTTAAAAATTTTAATTCCAAATTAGATGACATTAAAACACCTCTCAACCTCTGGAAAATGAGGCACCTATCTCTGATAGGAAGGATTTTAATTACAAAAACACTAGCAATTCCAAAAATTATTTATCAAGCAACTGTATTACCCATTTCCAATGAGATTATAAAAGAAATAAACAAATTAATAACATCTTTTATATGGAATAGTGAAAAACCAAAAGTTAAATCAACTGTAGCTTGTCAAAAAATAAACAAGGGTGGACTTAAAGTTCCAAACTTTGAATATCAGGTTAAGTCACTTAGACTAAATTGGATAAAGAGAATGTATTGTTTTAACAATAACCGACCAAAATGGTTCTTGATTTTTCAAGCTTATTTAGAAGATATAGATTTACAAACTCTACTTCAATCAAAATGCTGTATAGATATTATAACCATTTATATACCAAAATTTTATATGGATGTTTTAAATTGTTGGAAGGAATTTAGAACTAATGATAATGTTTGTATTGAACCTAAAATATTTAAGGAAATTTTATGGTTTAATGATAAAATAAAGATTAACAATTTATCCATCTTCTGGGAAAAATGGTACAAATGTGGGATACTTTTTGTAAGTGACATTATTGGTGAAAACAAAGACTTTTTAAGTCATGAAGATATTGTCAAGCTCTATGGAATAAATGTTTCTTTCCTAGATTACATGTCTTTACGAATGACAATACCAAACAAATGGAGAAAATTAGTAAGAGAAAAGCAAGAAACTGATTTTAATAGAAATACATTAACTCTTTCTATAGATGATAAGATATGTCCTATTTCTAAAATGCAATGCAAAGACTATTACTGGACTATGATAGAACACTTGTTTGAGCAACCAACTTGTATCAGAAAATGGGAAACAACATTTGATAGGAGTATTACAGAATCAGATATGAAGAATATCTTTACCATTTCCTTTTCATGCAATATAGTGAAACTTATTTGCAATCTTTTGATAATGAATTAATTCATAGATTTATAACACATGGAAAACTATTATATAACATGGGTGTAAACAAATCACCATTATGCAAATCATGTAAGGAAATTGATACAAAAAAAAAAGATTATAGAAAGCTTTTTTTGAGAATATGAGGTAGAAATGTATTCGTCTTCTAGATTAAAAAGAAGAGACTTATTTGTGGGGCCTTGGTATATATAGTCACTATAGCGTATATAATAAACGAATCTGGTAAGCGCCACCTGGAGTATTCCTCAAGGCACATACGTAATATAAAAAAAAAAGTATCCATGTACCTGTTTCACTGAGATGAAATCCCATAATCCTAGACGATGCTCGAATAGGGGTTATTATCCTATATATTATTTTGAAACAACTCTTTTGTAGTATAAAAGAGATTTATTTAAAGTTTGGCGTATCTGGTCTTGGTGACATATGTTATGACAAATTTGGGATTGGCCGTAGGGTCGTCTTTTAAATAATCAAGAAGAAAAATCGCGACCCTAAGTGGGCTAAATTGTGCACTGGGTAAAGTTCACGAATGCACAACGCCACGCAATATGGGTAAATCGGCAAATATCCCATTAACAACGTTATCAATGTCATATGAATGGGCCAATATCCAAACAACAATGTTAGCAATGTCAAATCAATACAATATCGTTCAATGGGCCAATATCCCATTAACAATATTAGCAATGTCAAACAAAATATCGTTCAATTGGCCAATATCCCACTAACAATGTCATCAATGTTAAATCATTACAATATTGTTCAAAGGGCCAATATTCCATTAACATATCCAGAGTATTTCAATGTTGAAATTCTTTTTATGGGTGCCAATTGTGTCACAAGAATTATACGAGTTAACAACAGCACTCGACCATTTGAGGTGGGGTCGACATTAACGCCACATGCATGCAAGAGCATCCGCCACCAATGACAGTCCCTCATATTTGTGAAGGTCACTACCCCAACTCAATCACCAATGACCAGCGCCATGTATAATCAATCTGATTTATTGCATTAACCACTTATGTAGCTAGATAGTCATGAAGATACCAATTTTAAACTTACCCTGATTACTTTCTTTATTTATGAATTAACTTATCATTAGTTGTTGCTAGCCAAAATGCTAAAAATGATGTTGACCAAAACTATGTTGTGTCTGCTGCTGAATCTAGGTATAATGGGTTTAGAAGATTGAATGTACTTCACATGGCAGCCTTGATGCCCTTACAGCATATTGGATATTTCTGAAGATATTACATTACATATTTCCAGGGGATTTTTTTTTTGTTTTTGATGAGGATTCGAACGAAATTTTTTCTTTATTCTGTTAATAGTTTTGTTGTAGTATCAATCCCATATGATTTGTGCAAGCTGTAAATTTTTGTCCAAGAATTCTCACAAGGGGTAGGGTTAAGAATGTATATTAACTGAAATGAGTCCCACCTTCTCAATTTGAATAAAGTGTTTATATGTGGACAGCTTCTACTACCCTAAACATTTTAAAATAAAAACCAAGATCTGCATGATTTAAACACTTCGGATTACAGAACATACATATATTTAGAAAAAGGAATAGTCAAGTACATATGATTTTTTTTTTTCATAATGTACCTGACTTTTGTACCAGAAAAAGGGGGAATAATTCTGCAAGGTTTAGAAATTCAACCCAGGCATGACAGTACCGAGCTCTAAACAGGTGTGGATAACATCTTCAAATAAATTTCTCACTGACTACTTGTCTTTTATGTTTTCCGATATGTATATTAATGGTTCGATTCTTATTATCTTGTCAACGAATAAATGTGCGTAGCCAGAGCATTTGTATTATTCAATTACAATCGTAAATTTAACTACTCTAAGCCTGCGATTTCCACAGGCCATGAGCCTATGAGGTATGACTTCTTGCGAGAACACCTATAGGGCCAAAATAAGTTACCGCCGTGTTGGTAAAGATGAAATTCATCATGCTTGCTATCTATAAATGATGATAAGTTCCCTTAACATACAGGGAATTAATCTATAAATGATGATAAATTCCCTGTATGTTAAGGGAACTTGAAAATACTATTAAAAGTTTTTTTTGAGTCAGAGTGATTCCAAAAAAAGTACCAGGGCACTTGAATGAACTTGTCGATATTTATATATTGTTTTAGACAGGACATCCGTTTAATGGTCAATGGAAATGGATGTTCCGAATCAGTTAGGTTTTGAATACCTTATAAAACAGACTTGATAAAAAAAAAAGCTATTAAATGAATCTTAAACAGGTTGTACTTAACTTGAATGACGTTTAAGCGAGTTACCCTTAAATAGGAATATTTCCTCGAATCTTAACAAGGTTGAATAGCTGAGTCAGTTGTCTTTATGAGGCCAGCTGAAACAATATACCACTTGTCTAATGTTCTCTTTGATGTAATGTGTAGCATGTGATAGGCGCATGTAAATAGTTATCCACACCGTTGCGGTTTACTCTTTTCTTACCATCTGTTATAAAAGAGTTGACCTGCTACCAAATGGTCGCTTAAACAACCCTTTATACTAACAGATGGTCAAAGATATTGGCCATTGGTGTAGGTTGCTTCCACATTGAATTGGATTGAGACACTTTATAATTGCTATAATGATCTGCTCATTTAGTTTGGCTACAATAAGTTTATTTTGGTCTTAGCGACTTGTAAACCAATTAACCAAATTTTTGCCACGTACACCTCTCTATATAATCTGTAAAAACGCATTGTAGAAGAAAGCTGTGATTGCCGAGGCTGTTTGTCTGGAGTTGGTCTGGTGTTGGGACTGCCCCAGTGTTGACGGGATATTGCATCGGCTATGGCGTAATGTTTACAAGTTATAATAACTCGTTATAGATTATTTTTATTTGTTGATTTTTGCTATGATCGCTTCCCATTATGTAGACCACTCTCTAATGTAACTTTACAAGATGAATGTGTCCTTTTTTAATTATTATTATTTATAAATAGGCCTATGAAAAAACAAATACACAACTCAGTGATGAAAGCTCTGGATAACATGACTCATGAGAACAAGGACATATCCAGGATTTGTGCTTGAAGGATCAATATACCCACTTAAAAACTGACTTGGTTTTTTTTTTTTTTTTTTTTTTAATTTTTTTTTTTTTTGGAAAAAAGAACACAAAAAATAATTATTTTAAAAAATGGGATTGTTTTTTTTTTTTTTTTTGGGGGGGGGGCACTTTCCTTCAAATGCATCTGCTTTTCTACATAAATCAGAAACTCCCGGGCTGGATGGTTCAAACCCTCTAGACCCCACTCCATGCCTTAGATTTCAACATAAAATCCCTTCAAATATAAAACACCAGGGTCTACCCTTCGCAACTGACACAAACATGAACTTTAAAGATATCCAAATAGGAGGAAGACATAGGATAAATTAAAAATTTCAAAATTATTGAACTTTTATATGGTTACATATACTTTTCACATATGCATTAACAAATTTACACGTTTATAATTTGTTGGTAAAGTAGCAAATCTCTGTACAAAAAATCTAAATGATTCCATGTCATTAAATTTGTTTATCTTGTGAATTGTGAAACAAGAAACAACAATGTAGGTAGCAGAGCACAACAACAACAACAGCAACAACAACAACAACAAAAAAAGAAAAGAAAAGAAAAGAAAAAAATGGAGAGTACCTTAGTTAAGCAACATCAAAATATTGTTAACAATTTAAGGAAATTTTATCAATACCAAATTGTCAAATTGAAAGTCATTAAAAAAGATTGTTTCAAAGATCAGTGTAATATTATAAAAACAAGTTATGAACAGTAAACAAATATAATACCGAAGTAAAGGACAATACAATTTTAAAATTAGTAATATTTGGAAACAGAACTGCATGTAAAATGCAATTTTAATTTTACAGTCTGCTTTTGAATAATGGGGAAAATACTTTAAAAATAAAAACAAATATGCATTGCCATCACATTGTATACTTCATAAATCATAATATTTTCCTGATCCTTATGGACAACCTTACACAATTAACAAAAACAAATTGGAAGGCATAAGAAAAAAATATGATTACAGTTACCCGACCAAATCTAAATTAGATCTGCATTCTAATTTTTTTTCACAGTGATTGTTTTACTGCTTATGATAGTTCATTGTTAAAAAAAAAAATAACAAAGGTGATTTTCCGGCAAACAGTTTTGTATTTCTAGTTTCTACTTTACTTTTAAATGAAAAAAAAAAATAAAAAAAAAAAAATAAAGAAGAAATTCCTACCTACTGACCCTAATTTAATTGGCATGTAATATTAAACAAACATATTTTTTTAGGACTAACAGAAAAGGCAAGGAAAGTAACACACGATAGAATGTGACGCGAATAATACTTGGTTTAAGTATACAATATTCCCATTTGCATGAGTTGTTAAAATCTCATATAAAAAGCACCGAAAAATTTATTCTGCTTGTCATTTGGGAATTTTTGCCTAAATTTTGGGAAAAAGAGTAAATTTCAGTTGGGAAAGGGTCCTTTTTCAGGACGCAAGGGTTATTAAGCCCTGTGCAGAATAGCTGTTTGGAACCTTAAATATCTTTAAACAAAAATTGTGACAGAAAATAATTATCCACTACTTGGCAGATTCATAAAGTCTTACTGGAGTTAATATCTCTAAAATCCAGAGCCATGCCAGTATGTTTGTACATAAAGCATTTTTGAACAGCTAAGCCCCTAAATGATCTTTAAGAATAAATTTAGCTGGACAAAAATGCATACCATTGATGATAATATGTAGGACTCTCTTCATTAGAATGATGAAATATATACATGAATTACCTTCTGCAATTAAATAGTCATGTATTCAACGTCAATTAAGAAGGCCTTCAGAAAGACTAATATTTGTCCCTTCTGACACAGCTCGGGTTTAATTTTGGTGATGCTCTGACTAAAATTAATCATTAAAATAAGGTATACAATTAAATCACAATCTAGATGTAAAAGATGGTTAAATATGCAAATAATTTATGAAGATTAATGTTTTCAACAAACCAATCACTTTTTATAAAATTGTAATACCTTTGCACATCTCCTCATCTTCCTCAGAGAAGACCAACTTGATAGTCACAGCATCCTCTACCATCTTGTGGGTATATATTTGGAAAGCGCCCACTAGTCTTGCAACATCTTTTCACCAAAATTTCTGAATTTACACATACAAACTTTTCGAAAAAAAAAAGAAGAATCATGATAAATTCTTCCGTTTCTCAGGTGACATGTTTATATTTTCTTCAAGGTTGAAAGTTTCTAAAATATGTCCTGAATTTTGCAGTTTGCATGCTTCATGGGGGGGGGGGGGGGTCTGTGTGATTTGTTTCATAAAAATATTGTAATTATACCCAATTCTCCAATTTTTTCATAATTATTGTTAAGAAATATTTAAATGACATTACCTCGACGAAGAAGTGACACCACCATGCAAAACTTTCTAACTTGCTGTTTGAATGCATATAACAGGTTCTAGGTGCAGGTGCGTGTGGGGAATGGGGCTTTGTGATTTATTCGATAAACATTAACATAATACTAATACTTCATATTATTGAGAAATAATCAAATGACACTTACCCATTGCACCCAGTTACTGCGATATATGTGGTAGTGCACTAGCGCACTGCACCATGGATCTGCTTTTACCACGAAGTCCCGCCCACCATGTTGCAATTGAAGGCTGGTTTACAAGCTAAATTATGCAAAAACTGGTTTAAAAGTGTTTGTCAAAGCTTTGCACCCGACGAGGCATGTGCTTCTCTCTCTACAATCTGCCACAAGAATGCGTTAACTTGGAAAAATAGCGTTTCGGTCATTGTCAGGCCTGATTAGCACATGTTTACTTCCATGTGTTTATTTTTTGCGCATGCGCCTGCAGCAACACCCCAAATAAAATTAATTAAAATAAACATTACAATTGCGTTTCTTATTAAATAAATTTACATCATAGACTTCTTTCGGTCTTTTGTTGTCATGAATTAAAAATTGTTTGGTTTAGCAAATAATTGGTGATTAATGACGAAAAGATATAAGCAGCAATAACGGGCACTTCCTGTGTATCAAAGGTCATTGACGAGGTTTATTTTTAGCCCGAAAGTAAGTCGAGATAGACTAGTTTCAAATGAAGATTATCACTCATGTTAATTGAATGGACACTGCAGAGAAACGTATAGAATTTATTTTAAATAATTAGTATGAAAAACGTCAGTCAGCATT